AAAATAGGTCATCTTAATCCTGGAATTAAGAGTCAATCTATAAGTACGCTGATGACAAAGAAATTTATAATTAAAATCTTTGCTAGTTATCTAACGAAAACTGGTGACTCTGATTTAAGTTATTTCTATGATTTGAAATGAATGAAAATGGAATCCATAGGATAGTTTTCCTTATATGTCAAGCAGGGTTAGAAGTAAGGGTGTGTGAAAAGAGGCCATGCTGGTCACAGCAGTGGCTTCCTCTGAGTGTTCTCCTACTCTCTTCCACTAAGGTCTAAAGCAGTTTTACTGCACCTTTAGGGTATATCAGAATCACTTGGAGGGCCTATTATATTGCTTGGCCCCATTCCTAGAGTTTCTGAGCCAACACATTTGAGGTGGACCCTAGAATTTGCATTTCGAACAAGTTCCCAGCAGCTGAACCACAGGTCCAGGGTTCAAGATGTAGAAGACATATGAGCATACAGAGCAACCAGATGCCAACATAAAGAAAACTTTTTATGCTACTATCATATTCCCTACAACTGGCCAGGAGCATACTTTAATTAATCATATGACCAACCTATGGGTCATAGACAGAGGGTATTTTCTTCAAAGAACTATTTTTTCTAGAGTCCTGTGGCCTGATACTTGTGCTTCTTTCTTTGTTTATGCCAGTGGAAAAGTGAGTTGCTTTTGTAACATCTGAATGTTTAAAAAAATTTTTTTTTCTAAGTAATAAATAAATAAATAAATAAATGAGTTGCTTTCTCTAAGATTTCTGTTACCAAGAGTTCAGCTTTCCTATGTGTACCACTTAGCTATTCTCCAAAGTGTCTGCTCCTACTCCTTTGAGAACTGTAAACAAAATAATTAAATAAGAGTTTCTAGGAATGGAACCCAGGCATAATTGTCAAAGATATACGAGTGATGCCAATGCATTGTCAGGGTTGCACTCCACTGCCTTAGTTCAAACTCAAAGATTCTTTCTTTGGTGGCACATTAGAATTACCTCACACAAACACACACGCGCGCGTACGTGCGCCCAGATTCTACCCTGAAAGGATTCTGATTTAGTTGGTGGGCTTTATTTATTTATTTATTTTTAAACACTCCAGGTGGTTCTAAAATGCAGTGAAGATTGAGAACAACTCTGTAAAAATATGGCAGTTAAGCTTCCAGCTATACATTGCCACTTGTTTGCATACATATTTGCTTACACTTGTTCCCTCCCTCACAGAGACTTTCCTATGAAGTAGCTAATTAGAACATTAAGATATTTTAAGAACAAAGCCCACTGGTTAAGAAAGAATTGTTTCTTCATTTAGGTTCGTGCAGCTTGTTCCTCTGCTCTGGGCTACTTAACATACAATGCAAATGCTTTCCGCATCCTATTCAAAGAATGCAGGAATAAACCTAATCAGTTCATTCGCATAAAAAATAATATCAGCAGAGATGCAAGTATTAACCCAGCATTTTTAAAGGAATTTCAAATGCAACAAACACTGGTGGGACTTCCTTCCTTAAGGTATGGTCCTATGTTAGAAGTTGCAGTAGTGAAATCATTGAAAGGAGACTTTAATGAGGTTTAGTAAGATCCAACAAGAGGAACTATTCTTGATATGAACATATCTCCTGTATAGCAGACGATAAACTTCATTCTAAATGACCATTGCCAAAACCTGTTTTAATTCCAACTCAGCACCAGAGTTGTGGGTGCAGACAAGAATACACCTAGATCTTGGAGATCCTCTCTGGCCAAGATTATTCACATTTTAGAAAGTTTTGGGGAGACTGGTTACCACAACATCTGATTCAAGAAGTCATTTTTTTAGCAGACTAGGGATACATTTGAGAGTTCTAAGACAAGATCACCACCCCGACCTTAGCATCAAATGGGTCTTCTGGACCAGATCCAAAGCTAGGCCAAATTCCCAGGGTGGAAACAGGGCTAAATTAGACTTAGTGGTTAGAGTTACAGTGAAGTTTGCCAGGAATTTATTCAGAGGATTTCAACTCATGTTGTGGTTTCACCATGAACTTAAGTCCCCACAAAAGGGGAGGAGAGGAGAATCTCTTTACTATGGGTATGTTTCCTCTTCTGCAAATGTAGCTGAATTACAAGTCTTCTCTCCAAGTAGTGGTATTCATACATAGGAAATAGAACTACACAAGATATGTTAACTCTATGATAATGGAAGAGAATAGGATCCAATAATGCATCCGAATAGGATCCATGTACAAACAGAGATTCTACATCAATTTTTAAGTACAGAGAATGATGAGTACACCTTTGGAGCCACTTTAATTCTTTGAAAAGCTGAAAGTCTAAAATGGGTGACCTAATTTTATGATAAGCCAGCGAACCTAAATTATAACTGTTGTAATTGATAATTCTTTTTTTTTTTTTTTTTTTTTTGAGACGGAGTCTGGCTCTGTCGCCCAGGCTGGAGTGCAGTGGCGCGATCTCGGCTCACTGCAAGCTCCGCCTCCCGGGTTCACGCCATTCTCCTGCCTCAGCCTCCCGAGTAGCTGGGACTACAGGCGCCCACAACCGCGCCCGGCTAATTTTTTGTATTTTTTTTTTTTAGTAGAGACGGGGTTTCACCGTGGTCTCGATCTCCTGACCTTGTGATCCGCCCGCCTCGGCCTCCCAAAGTGCTGGGATTACAGGCGTGAGCCACCTCGCCCGGCCGTAATTGATAATTCTAAATAATTTTCATTGGTTCGAGGAATTAAATAATGTAAGTAGTATTTTACACAGTCACTCCCACGGCTAGCCCATGTGATGACTTTGTGGGAATTAGAAAAATATACCCCTTTCTCAGACCTATCTTCTTCAAAACCCAGCTGAAGTGTCTCTTCTTCTGTAACACTTTCCCTGATCACTTCAAGAAGATTTAATGTTCCAAATGTTTGGAGTAAATAAGTGAGTAAATGAGTGACTGAATATAAAATACTTACAGGTAACATGCAGAGTTAGTGGAGGAACATGTATGAATTAGGCCATCAGGCATTAAACCTGGTACCGTAAGTCTTCATATATTTCTTCATATATTTTTTCTGGGTGTATTAGGTCTTCATTTATTTTAATAACAACAAAAATGTTTTCCTTTTAGTCTGGAGAAGAATGGAGGACCATCCATAATTCCTATCTTTAAAAAAGGTAATTGATTTTTTTTTTTTTTAATCTATGAAGTACCTTCTAGCCTAGACACTTTATAATTCTGTATTCCATCTCTAAAAATTCAAAATGTAGGCTGAGCACAGTGGCTCATGCCTGTAATCCCAGCACTTTGGGAGGCCGAGGCAGGTAGATCACTTGAGGTCAGGAGTTCAAGATCAGCCTAGCCAATATGGTGAAACCCCATCTCTACTAAAAATAATAATAATAGTAAAAATTAGCCAGGCATGGTGGTGCATGCCTGTAATCCCAGCTACTTGGGAGGTTGAGGCAGGAGAATCACTTGAACCTGGGAGGCAGAGGCTGCAGTCAGCTGAGATCGAACCACTACACTCTGACCTGGGTGACAGAGTGAGACTCCATCTCAAAAAAAAAAAAAAAAAAGTAGAAGGTACCCCCCCAAAAAAGTTTACCTGCATACTTTTCTTTTGTAATTATGTCTACCTAAAATATCTTCCTAATTATAAGTCCATGTTAATCATTTTCTGTAAGGCCTTCCCTACCAGTATCACTTGAAAGTGACTCCTGTCTTATTTTGCTTTTCTCAAACCATGCATAGAAATAAGTCATTATTTAAACGACCTGTAAATATGACTTAAATTATGATCCTGCTATTGCTGTTTTATATACAACTTACCTATCTGAATTCTCGGGGCAGAGACCACATTTTTTCCATTGATACTCTATATAGTTTTGTACATAGTTGGTACATTACACTTGAATGGATTAGATCTGCAGAGATCAGAGTCCAGATCTCATATTATTTATCCCTTCCTATTAGATATGTAATAGGGAATATAAATTACTTATTAATTTCACATACATGCTTAGTGCCTTTTCATGTAGGACCAAAATCAGTCTTACTTGATATGTTGTCCTATTACGAAAATCAAGGATAGAAACATTCAGAAGTCAAGATCAGTTTGCTAGAGTCATAAACAGAAAGGGAGAGAATTTAAAACGACAGTAAAAGGAGAGGAAACAATTTCATGTATTCAGCAAGTATATGAGGGAAGCTAGGTATGTGGGGAGGTGATATAGAAATATATATAGAATATCATGAGTAGAAGAACATCCATTTTTTATATAGCTTCTTGAATGTAAGAGTAATTTACACAAAAGAATAAAATCAGTTCACTTTTTCTTCACTTTAACAATGGTTTCTAAACAACAATCTGTTTATCAGTCATGATCTGATGAAGTTTTCACAGGTTTGTGGCAACATAAGAAAAAATAAGGACAAGGTAACACGTTTCTGGTAAAATTAATTTCATTCAATGTCAAGTCCATCATTTTGAGATAATGCCTTTTACACTTTCTTTTGGTGCTAAAATATTCTTTATTTTACATAATTATGTTTAAAGTAGTATTTGTTCTTTTATTGGTGCTAACTTAACAAAACAAGCCAGCAAGCTACTGATCTGTTCTCTTAGTATGTTTTAGTTATGTAAAGAAAATAGAACTACATAGAACTAGAAGTAATGAGACTATACCTAGGGCTCTCAGGAGAGACATTTAATTGTGGCTAATTTTTAGGGAAGGATCACCGAAGAAAATTAAAACCTAAAATTCAACCAAGAGATTCTTTGACTTTATTACCTCCTGTAACTAACTTCATGGGACTCTTCAAAGCAACAAAAAAGACCAAGGATTCCCATAATATTTTTTCTTTTTCATCTACAATTACATCAGATATCACAAATGTATCAAGACCAAGAATAGTGTGTTTGAACCAACTTGGGAAACATGTCCAGAAAGCCAACCCAGAGCCTGCAGAAGGCTAATAAAACATTTTAGCATGAAAGGATTCCTGAGCCATCTTTTAAATTTTTTTTTATTTTTAATAATGGTAATATGCAAATAACGTAACTGAATAATCTTTTTGAATGGAAGTTCTTGATCTCGATACTAAGCAGACTTTCCTTAGCATGTCTACGGGAATTTAATATCAGATCAGAATTATGGTTTCAAATAATAAGTAGGATTTCTTTAAAAGAAGGCCTGCACTTAAACCTTAAAATTTATTGACTGACATGAGTGGTATAACTAGTGTATATATCAAGAGTTAACATTTTTAAATTGGCGTGCAAGAGGCCTGATTCAAAGTAGCTCACATGGTAACATTTATTATAATACTGTGATATATTTAGTAATACATATTACAAATGTATAAGTCTTCTAAGACCCAAAATGTATACTTAAGAAATATTTTGGCTAGGCATGGTGGCTCACACCTGTAATCCCAGCACTTCTGGAGGCCAAGGTGGGAGGATCACTTGAACTCAGCAGTTCAGGACCAGTTCGGGCAACATGGCAAGAGCCTGTCTCTACAAAAAATAGAAATAAAGTTGGCTGGGCGTGGACATGCACACCTGTAGTCCCAGCTATTCAAGAGGCTAAGGCAGGAGGATTGCTTGAGTTCAGGAAGTCAGAGTTGCAGTGAGTTGTGATCTTGCTACTGTAGATCTCTTGCTACCAGCCGAGGTCCGAGAGTGAGACCCTGTCTCAAAAAAAAAAAAAAAAAAAAAAAAAAAAAAAAAGGTCTGAGAGTCAGTGGATGAAGCAGAAAAGAAAAATTTAAAAAGAAAATAAAAATTTTTTACAAGGGAAAAAAAGTTTTATTTAAAAATAAAATCCGAAATCACTGCCCATCAAGTACATAAGTATGGGTTTTGTAGCTAACAGTGTTGCTCATTCTCCCTATTTATAGAGTGTCTTTGGTTTGCAACTGGAAAAGGTAATAGTCTTATGTGGCTTAGAACCATATGATGTCTTTGCTCAAACAGCAATGTCTGCTTCTCCTATTTTACAGCTGCAGACAAATATGATACAAACACCTGGCTTCACCGTGTACTTTATCTTACTTATTTATTTATTTTTTTGAGATAGAATCTCGCTCTGTCACCCAGGCTGGAGTGCAGTGGCAAGATCTCGGCTCACTCCGCCTCCTGGGTTCAGGCAATTCTGCCTCAGCCTCTTGAGTAGCTGGGATTACAGGCGCCTGCCACCACGCCTGGCTAATTTTTGTATTTTTAGTAGAGATGAGGTTTCACCATGTTGGCCAGGCTGGTCTTGAACTCCTGACATCAGGCGATCTGCCTGCCTTGGCCTCCCAAAGTGCTGGGATTACAGGTGTGAGCCACTGCGCCTGGCTTCACTGTTTACTTTAAAGCTCCCCTTTTCTCCATCCACTTGCTGAATTGCCTTCATACAGTCTGAGGGTCTTGCTGTAATCCATTCTCTACCTGGGCTGCAGTAAGCATTGAAAGTATATATTAATTAGCAGCTATTTTCCCCGATATGTACTTAGGGCTTTCTATGTGCCAGAGTCCAAAGTCAGTGAGTGAGTGAGTGGGTGAATGAATGATTATTTATTTATTTATTTATTTGACAGGGTCTTGCTCTATTACCCAGGCTGGAGGGCAATAGTACAATCATAGCTCACTGTAGCCTATAACTCCTGGGTTCAAAGCAATCATCCCACCTCAGCCTTCTGAGTGGCTAGGGCTACAGGTCCTCGGTCTCTGTTATGCTGAGTGTGGTGGTACAGACCTGTAGCCTTAGCTACTCAGGAGGCTGAGGTCTCTGCTGTGTTGCCCAGGCTGGTCCCAAATTCCTGGCCTCAAGTGATCCTCCTCCCTTGGCCTCCCAAAGCACTAGGATGAGCTACCATGCAAAGCCTGTGTTCTTAACCACTGAAAAATAAGAGACGTCTTTAATCTTCATATTTAATTCTAAATTATCTTAATGGTGCTGAGTCACAACTTTCTGGTGGATTGACTAAAATATAGGAAATGCGGAGGGAAATGGTCTATTTTATACTAGAAAGGGATACATATTCAAGTAATAAATTGTGTTATCCAGCACCATTAAGGATAAGAATTCATAACAATGGAAATATTAAGCTTCTGTAGATATTTTAAAAAGCCTTTAGAGAGCAACTTTTGAGCTCTGAAAATGGTTTCAGGTAGGCTCAAGACTATATTTTAGGACTATTTTCCGGTTATCAGAGTTCCTTTGCATTCAATTCCAGATATTTCCTGAGTATCTTGGCCTAGCCAGACCATCCTACCACTCCTAAAATGTATACTACTTCTCCTATAAATCCCCCCCCATAAAGATTATTTTTATTGGCCGGGCATGGTGGCTCATGCCTGTAATCCCAGCACTTTGGGAGGCCGAGGTGGGTGGATCACGTGGTCAGGAGTTCGAGACCAGCCTGGCCAGCATGGTGAAACCCCATCTCTACTAAAAATACAAAAAATGAGCTGGGCATGGTGGTGCTTGCCTGTAGTCCCAGCTACTCGGGAGGCTGAGGCAGGAGAACTGCTTGAACTTGGCAGACGGAGGTTGCAGTGAGCCGAGATCGAGCCATTGCATTCCAGCCTGGACAACAGAGTGAGATTCTGTCTCAAAAAAAAAAAAAAAAAAAAAAAAAAAAGGTTACTTTTATTATTCCACGGTTTTTGTTTTTTTTTTTAAAGGATGTGTGAGAAGTCAGGCCCTGGAGGCTGAAGTTGGAGGATTACATGAGCCTAGGAGTTCTAGTCCAGCCTGGGCAACATAGCAAGATGCTGCCTAGAAAAACAAAAATAAAAAATTATGTATGAGAAAGGTCTCCAGATATAGAGGGTTATATTCAAAGAATTGTACATTTAGTTACTTTAATCAAGACAGAAAAACAGTGATAATCTTACAATATTTGCAGTACAAAGTTTGGATTAAAAAAAATTATCCAAAAAAACTCCCTCATTTATTTCCATCTGATTATATACAATTTCTCAAATAACTGATGTAAAAGTATATGGACAACTAAAGCGTACAATACATACTTGAGGGATTACTTACATGTCAAAATTGTAAAACCTCAAATTATATGAATTTTTAAAAATGCATAGACATCCTGTTTACTCCAGAGAGGATACCTAATCATGAACTCTTAAAATTAATAACATACTATGTTAGAGAAACCCAGCTTTTGTCTTGATTTGGAAATGTCTGCTTTGACATGACTTTGATCTAAAATTGCTTTCTCATGCACATTTGTAATCCCAGCACTTTGGGAGGCCGAGGCAGGCGGATTGCCTGAGCTCAGGAGTTCAAGACCACCTTGGGCAACATGGTGAAACCCTCTCTCTACTGAAAATACAAAAAATTAGCCAGGCGTGGTGGTGGGCTCCTGTAGTCCCAGCTACTCAGGAGGCTGAGGCAGGAGAATTACTTGGACCCAGAGTAGAGGTTGCATGCAGTAAGCCGAGATGACACCACTGCACTCCAGCCTGGGTGACAGAGGGAGATTATCTCCAAAAAATAATGATGATTAAAAAAAAAATAAAACTGCTCTCTCATTATAAAGTCAGGTTCTTGTTTCAGTAGGAGTTAAAAAGGAGCTTCTCCTATCCTGATTTGAGGAAGTGGGAGAAAGTCCTACGCCTGGATGATACAGGGCCAGAATTCAGCAAAATTACTGTGTTTCTTCCAAAGTGTTTCTTTCTACCTGCCAACATCAATACATTCCTTTCTCAAAAGATGTTTTATTTTGGTTTTTAATAATTAAAAAAAAAAATATGTTCCCTTGTAAGGCTTTAATACAGTACAGTATCTCAGAAGAGCAGGTAAAACATCAAACATAAAAAGAAAATAAGAAAGTCTTGATGAATAATTAATATTATATATCTTCTACAATTTGATACACAAAATAATAAAAACTTAATTTTAACATTAACGCTACCTTTAGGGACTTTTTTGAACAGCAGAAATCATATCTCCATTTTTAATTGTGGTACTTTTATGGCAGCTTCTCCAACTTCTTTTGATATGTCTACTCCAAGAGGACATCTACATCATAAGCAGACAAATCATATTATTTATTTGCTTCATGATCCATCACTAGTTCTGCAGACTATTTGCTTAGAATTATGACAATATAAATATCAAATGTTTAATTCATCATATGTGGTAATGATTCTTAAATACTTACAAATATACCGGGACCTCAAGTCAGGATAATGAAAGCTAGTCTCAATAAGAAATCTAACTTTTGAGATGTTCTTGAAAGAAAGTTTTACTGCTCTTAAATACTGTAAATAAGTTAAAAACATAAAATGAAATATAAAAATAATGAAAAATGTCTTATAATTCTCTACAAAGCTGAAAAGGTAAAAACATTTTTGCCATACAGCTAAAGTCAAACCTGTGTCCATTCACATTTTAGAAATGTCCTAGGTTTCTATAGGTTCTTCTCTGAAGTTTAAAAAGCTGCCTTGCCCCTTTTCTACCATCCTTTGCCATTACTAGCCAAAGAGGTCTTAGTTCCTGCTGTCTTTTTCTGTTCCTCCTCAGTAACTAATTTTTGCTTCAGATTTCTGCTTTTCTACCATGTTGTCCAAGATAAGACTTTGCTTTGACTGAATCCCAACCTGGAAAAAGCCATCATCTCCAGCCTCAACACTGTCACAAGGTGACACAACTGAATCAGAGGATATACTCTATCTGAGACAAGGTATCAAAGGGATGCCTTCCAGTACTACTAACTCAATTCAGTTCATTCATGATCAGCATACATGTAATTCATGTATAGCACAACTGTCAAGTTACGGAATATAATGCTGACAGTTGTGTGTGTGTGTGTTTTTTTTTTTTTTTGAGATGGAGTCTCGCTCTGTCACCCAGGCTGGAGTGCAGTGGTGTGACCTCAGCTTACTACAACCTCCACCTCGAGGATTCAAGCAATTCTCCTGCCTCAGCCTCCCGAGTAGCTGCGATTACAGGCGCCTGCCACTACACCTGGCTAATTTTTGTATTTTCAGTAGAGATGGGGTTTCACCATGTTGGCCAGGCTGGTCTTGAACTCCTAACTTCAGGTGATCTGCCCGCCTCAGCCTCCCAAAGTGCTGGGATTACAGGCATGAGCCACTGTGCCTGGCCAGTGCTGACAAGTTAAAACATCAGATGAAACAGTGTTCAAAATATAATTATGTTAGATTATGAAAATAATTCTTTTACTATTCCAGAATTAACTTATAACAGAATTTGATAGTAATTTGAAAAACCAGCCAGGCAATGGTGGCTCACACCTGTCATCCCAGCATTTTGGGAGGCTGAGGTGGGTGGAACACTTGAGGCCTGGAGTTTGAGAACAGCCTGGCCAACATGGCAAAACCCAAAAACTAAAAATACAAAAAATTAGCTGGGCACAGCTGTGTGAACCTATAATCCCAGCTACTCAGGAGGCTGAGGCATGACAGTCACTTGAATGCGGGAAGCAGAGGTTGCAGTAAGCCGAGAATGCACCACTGCACTCTAGCCTGGGTGACACAGTGAGACTCTTTAAAAAAAAAAAAAAAAAAAAAAAGTAAAAGAAAAAGCTGTGCTATTCACTGGAACTTTGATTTGGGAGAGGAAATAAGACTTGCAGGAAACAGCTATCTTTTGGCCAATTCTCAGCTGCCTGTGTGAAAGCATAATCACAACCCACTCTCACACCTGAATGCTTTCTGCATGTTTTCCTTAAATTTCCCAGCATACCTGCTGGTTCTGAGATGTTCCTGACATTGCCAAAGTCCAGGCCATGGACACAGTTTACATTCTAGTTCCAAAGGAGGGAATTCATCACTCTTATTCATGACCTGTTTCTAACTCACCTAAACTTGTCAAGATTTTTATAATTTGATACTATAGCAAAAATATTTCTCATATGGTATCAACCTTAACTAGGTTCATGAAAGAAATTTATGTAACTTTCCTTCAAGTACCACCAGAATGTCAATGAAAACCTCATATATAAAGGCAAAATCCAGGCTTTGTCTTAAGTAATGTAACTTGCATAAAGATCATGAATGATATCACATACTTTGGTTCATAGCGGATGCCTTCTATGTCATGTAAAATGCCCAAGCCAGCACGTAGTCTTTCAATACCGTTCCTAAATAAGAATCATTAAAATAAAATCAATAGCTCCAAGATCTGAAGGAAGAAGGTTTAGTATGATAAAACGGCAATTAATATTTACATAGTTACGAGTGAAGCACATATATCCTGTGGCCTACCATGCAATCATAATGCCATTATCAGTGCACAGTCTGGGAGGAGGACACAACAAAGTGCACTGTGTTGCGTTTGTTAAAATTTCCAGAGCTCTGCGGACATAGAAGTTACTTGCAACACCACCAGATGCAACCTGAAGGAATTGAGAAAACCAAAATAACTATCATATATGGATAGGAACCAAGCTGTTAATTAAACCTGGGGAAAATATCAGCATTATACAATAATAAACTATCCCATTTTGAGATTGGTAATGGGCAAATGATATATCTATATAATAAAAATTTGGAAAGAAAAAAATTACTAACAATTCTAATAGCATACAAACATTACTAGCATTTTTGTATATTTTCTTCCAACCTTTCATCTAAATATTTATTTAATATAATCACAATCATAGAACACCATTTTAGACTCTGAATTTATTAAATATTTTGTGCATTTTACTACATAACTCTGAAAAGATTATTCTTTGATATCCAAGTAAAATTCCATCTATGAATTACCACCATTTAAACATTTTCCCACTTTAGTTTATAATTTTTAAATGAATAAAGTTTAAGCTACAGTTAAACAGGATGTTTGTCTCAAGGCTTTTAAACACAATTAAAGGGATTTCAGCTGGTACAATATAGTGGATTTATCAACATAAGTGTCACGAAAGTTGGTATACCACCTCCCACTGCTAAATTTGACTGGCTTATTAAAAAACAAACAAAGGAATTTCATCAAAGGATGAAGGAAATCCATCTATTTTTCTAAAAATAGTGATAGCAGTTACTGCATTTACTTTCTTTATTGTAAGCCCTCTTTTAAATCCAACAAGAGGATGCGATCTTAGACTTATGAGCCATAGAAGCTATACAGATGTCCCATGAAGCTGCCAAACTAGTACAAGAAATGGCTGTTAGTCTTTCCTATCCTGCATAATTTCATACTGTCAGGGCTAGCATAGGGCATAAAGATCTGTTCATCCTAAACACCAGGTCAAGGTCTTGGGAAAAAAGTAACATATTGCAAAGTGTAACTATTACTTTAAAATGAGATAAAACTTACCAGTACTGCATTATTTTGAGGTAACAAGTCTCTCTGCTTACAAAACAGAATAGCCCGATGTGTTCTTTTCACAATATGACATGCCATTGTGTGCTGTACTGTGGCAGCAATGTCTGCAGCTGAAGACAGGACTTGCCCCTCCTCAATACCTGCAGAAATGAGCAGGCATTTTTAGGCACAATCCAGGAACATTTATCTGTTCAACTTTACTAATTAGAAATATACCTTCCTCTTTTTCCTTTTTCATTATTCTTTTATTAGTAACTTGTTGAAGTCCAGTAAAAGAAAAATCACAGTTTTTAGCATGATGCAAGGGAGGTTTGATGTCAAAATGAAATCTATTTCCTTGTTTGGCCAAATGTTCTATGGCTTTCCCACCACTCATGGTGGAGCACTCTGGATGTTTTATTAAAGAAAGTCTTCTTGCCACCTATCAAAAAATTATATTTTTTTAGAGTCATAAAATTAAATACTTTGAAACGAAAAGATGCAAAGGAAATGAATTGAAAATTACTAACAAAACAAAACCCCCCTGAATGAATAAAACATGCTATACTTTGGCAAATATAGACTACAGCTGATATTCAGGTAAGCAGACAACTCTGCTCCTTATGATGACCCGAACAATAAGAGGCCAATCACTGCCCCATCTACGTTTGCTCTTCTATTGGGGTTGGAAAATAGGCTTGAAGTTGACAATGACTGCTTAATGATGAATGTCAATAATAAGAACTTGTCCTATACTTTCTTCCTATTATTTCACTGTGGAAAGCAGTGTTTTTATATATATGGCAGTAGCCTCTGTAGTATTCTAAAACAAAGGGCGGGGGGGGGGAACCCTACCTGTCTATGGTGTCAGCAATTGTGATTTAATTCTGTGCATTGCATCTTTAATGTCATGTTAATCTATATATGTTCTCTTATTTTACCTTTTTTGCAGTATGTTAGTTTACAAAGCACGTTCTTTCACATATATTATTTGACAAAATACATAACTGTATCTGCAAACTATTTCAGCTTTTATGTACAGATATGAACCTCTTAACATTTTATTAGGAAAGGCTAAGAATTATACAATTGTGTACTACTCTTTGTATTTTTTCTTACCATTGTGAATTTTTTTCAGTTTATTAAGATATCATTCAGAAATATTTAGGTGAATGGTGGTAGCACATCGATTGCTACTTAGTTGAAATGGACAACGTAACAAAAAAGAATGGAGAAATTAATTCTTAAATAATTACCTTGTCAAGCATGTCACCTGGTGCTATGTCCAAAGACTTTCCAAGAAGCAGAAAATCTGAAACTCCTTGAACTAATGCCAACAGACAGTGACCTCCAGAAATCAAAAGAACTAAAAAAGGAAATTCTACTTTATTGGTCAACCTAATAGTAAGTGCATGAGCCTCCATATGATGAATGGGAATGAATGGCTTTTTTAACTGTCCTACCAGCTGTAAGCTAAATGATAAGCCCACTCCCAGGCTTAAAGCAAGTCCTGGTTTTATGGTAGTTGCAATTGCTGAGAGGTCACTTGGTGAGATTCTACTGGCAGAAAGAGCTTCTTGTACTATTCGTTGAATATTGTCTCTGTGAAGCTGTTGAGCTACTGCAGGAACAATCCCACCTGTTCTGAAAGAAAGACAGCTTTTTGTAGTTTTAAGATTGTAAAAATGAGGAAAACTGATAATATATTACAGTTAAAGGCATGTCTTCAAGTTAATCATTACATAGCTAAGTCAAATATTTTCTAATTGTGTGCCTTCTAACACAGCACACTATGGTTAAAACTCAGTAAGCAGTAATTAAGGGGATAATGTTTCTGACTTTTTCAACTTATGCACAACAAAATCCCATGGATTTGTTTGTTGACAAATGAAATCACCAAAATAATCTTGCAAAGCATTCCAGACAAGTTTTGAGCATGGGAAGGACAGGAAAAAATTATATTTAAGGAAAATTAATTTCCTTGCTGACAGAAGAATTTAAGAGAGATTACAGTGAAAGTATTTGTGTAAAATGATTATATCTTAAACTGGGTGATTGTGGAAATGGAAAGAAAGGGACAGAGAACCTTAAGAACTGTAATAACTAATTGAATTGAATATAAGGGGACAGGGGGACTAAGGCATCAAAGTTTGTTCAGCTATTCAGCTGGAATGACTGGGAGAAAAGAAATTCTAAAAGACAAACATGAAGACAGTTTTATAAAGAAGATGAGTTTATTTTAAAACACATTCCAATTGAGGTCACAGCAGGACAGCAGATGGCTTGCAATCCTGAAATACAGTTTGGGAATCTGGTGCTCAGAGTTGGTAATTTGGATTTTTGGTCCATGTAGGATGGTGGATGGCCACTCCAGATGTCAAGTGTAAAGAACTAAGAGACAAATTTGCTAGCAACAAATTTGCTACCATGTGATTGATTTACAATATGAGAACTAGAGCAATAAAATAGAGTCTGCAAATTGCCCTGCTAGTTTCCAAAAAAAATCTTCAAATATTTGATGTTGCAAGACCTACTAGTTCTATGTGTAGAAATGAAAATCCTCAGTAAGTGCATTCAATGAATATTTGCTGAGTAATTAAAATATTGTTTCAGGCAATGAGGGGGATATAAATGAAATGATCTGATTTCAACACATCCACATTGTAATATAATTTTCCTTAATTCTTCAAAGCTACTTTTTCTCTTATATTCCTCATCTTTGTTAGTGGCATCAGATAACCCTTGGGTTTCAAAGTTCATCTTTACTTCCTTTCTCTCCTTCACTCTCCCCATTTAAGTTTATCACCACTCCCACTGCCAAGTCTCGAAAGCCCTCATCTCAGTCTAATTTATTCAACAGTCTTCTAATTGTACTTTCCTAACTACATCCTTTGATCCTTAAAGTCCATCCTATATTGCTGCCAGAGAATACTCTAAAGCACAGTGCTACTCCTGTTATTCCCCTACTCAAAACCTTTAGTTTCGTGGAATTCGGGAGGCATCAAATCTAAATTATCTCCCTGCCACTCATTCCTTCCTTCTCTGTCTTGCCTCCCTTCTTTCCTTTCTATGCCTTTTCTGTGTATTTTATCTTCCAGGGATTATGCTAAACACTAGGGCCAAATAAGAACATGGCTTTATTCTCAAAGAATTAATAATAACAATGTATTTTTGTCTTACTATGATTTGTAGACAGTATGGAGTGTGGATTAGGGAACAAAGCTAATAAAGAGGCAGGGAAACCACTGAGGCTTGAAGCTATAGCCAAGAGTCTATGCAAAAGACAATAAAGGATTGAACTCAATCAGTGAGAAAGCAGAGGAAAGTTGCAAAAAATATTTGGGAGATGGATTTACTATGAATGACTGATTTGGATGTGGAATGGTGAGGGAGAATTCAAGGATGTCCTTCAGGTTTCTGGCTTGGAAAAAGGGACTCCTCCTGCCAAGTAATCCTCTATTACTGCACTTGCCATTCTGTTTCACAATGGTCTGCTTACTGTCTTCTTCACTTTTACTGATAGTAGTAGTAGAACTACTATTGTTACTAATAGCTAGCTTGTATTCAGCTGTTGCTATTCATCAAGAATGCCCCAAAAGCTTTAAAGGAATTCACACTTAATATTCACAACACTAATTTGAATTAGTGGTAATTATTATCATTTAACAGATAAGGAAACTGAGGCACAAAAAATTGTGCACAGTATCAAATGTAGTAAACGGCTGAACCAGAATATAAGCCTAGTAAATGGCTGAACCAGAATATAAGCCTACACTCTAACCCACTTATATGGTGAGCTGTTCAAAGGCAAGGGTCATATGTCTCATTTATATTTGCACCCCCAATGCCCCAAGTATTGCCTGGCAGCTATAGGTATTCAAAAAATGCTGAGATGCGCCAGGTGAATGGTATCACTGAAGCCTATTTGCCCAGTAGTCTCCTTAAGTGACCTATGGTCTAGCTAAACTGAATGTCCAGTACTTCTCACTTCTTTGCCTTTGCTGACAATGCTCACTTAGTGATATGGTTTGAATCTGTGTCCCTGCCCAAATCTCATGTAGAATGGTAATTCCCAGTGTTGGAGATGGGGCCTGGTGGGAGGCAACTACATCATGGGGGCATATTTTCCCCTTGGTACTGTGTCACCATAGTCAATGAGTTCTCATGAGATCTGGTTGTTTAAAAGTGTGGGCCAAGCGCGGTGGTTCACGCCTGTAATCCCAGGACTTTGGGAGGCCTAGGCGGGTGGATCACTTGAGGTCGGGAGTTCGAGACCAACCTGACCAACACAGAGAAACCCCATCTCTACTAAAAATACAAAATTAGCCGGTCATGGTGGAGCATGCCTATAATCCCAGCTACCCGGAGGCTGAGCGGGGAGAATCGCTTGAATCCAGGAGGCAGAGGTTGTGGTGAGCCGAGATCACACCATTGCACTCTGGCCTGGGCAACAAGAGTGAAACTCCATCTCAAAAAAAAAAAAAAAAAGTGTGTAGCACCTCACCCCTCTCTTTCGGTCCTGCTCCTGCCATGTAAGATGCCTACTCCCACTTTGCCTTCCCTCATGAGTAAAAGCTCCCTGGGGCCTCCCCAGAAGCAGATGCTGCCATGTTTCCTACACAGCCTGTGGAAACGTGAACCAATTAAACCTCTTTTCTTTATAAATTACCCAGTCTCAGGTATTTCTTTATAGCAATGCAAGAATGAACTAACACAGCCAGTTTATAATATTCTTTCCATCTCCATTCACTGAAGGCCTAACGAAAGGCCACTGAACACCTGTGATGTGTCAAACATTGTGTTGGGCACTAGGTATAGCATAGTGATTAATATAGACATGGCCCCTGTCACCATGGCACTTAGACTCTACTGCGATGATACATACACAAGCAAATGTATAAATTGTGAAAATATTACAAAGAAAACATGCAGGATATGATGATACAGAATAAACAGGATGGGAGTACCTAATTTAGATAAAGTGGTCAGGGTAGTCCTTTCTGTGCCATTAACGTTTACATGTTCAAAAGTTCAGTGCACTCAGGAAAAACTGAAAGGACTGTGAAGGCACGGTAATACTAGTTACTGTCTGCACCACTTGTTTTACCTTATGCTGCCTTGCACTATTAATTTTCCTTGTAGGTCTAGACATCATGTCTCCATAATCAAGTTAAGCTTCCTGAAACCAAGGACTTTGCAGTACTTCACAGTGCCTTACTAATATCCAACACAGTCCCTTTCACATAGTTATTGTTTGAGGCTTAATCTGCCTCTTTACATATATCATTTCTAACGCCACCCTCCCGTAATTCTATAAGGCAGATGTTATTTTATTTACTTATTATTATTTTTTGAGACAGAGTCTCCCTCTGTCACCCAGGCTGAAGTCCAGTGGTGTGATCTCGGCTCACTGCAAGCTCCGCCTCCCGGGTTCATGCCATTCTCCTGCCTCAGCCTCCTGAGTAGCTGGGACTACAGGCGCCCACCACCACGCCCAACTAATTTTTTTTTTGTATTTTTAGTAGAGACGGGGCTTCACCATGTTAGCCAGGATGGTCTCAATCTCCTGACCTCGTGATTGCCCGCCTTAGCCTCCCAAAGTGCTGGGATTACAGGCGTGAGCCACTGCGCCCAGCCAATTTTCCTATTTTACTGATGTGAAAACAGAATCAGAGAGGATATGGAACTTGCCTACAGTTACAGAGCCAATACCAAGTGCTTAATTCAGGATTCAAATACAGGACTGTCATTCCAAAATACCAGGCTTTTTCACTATTCAGATGTTGTCAATTGATAGCTTAAAGGCATACTCATCTGTAGAGTATTTTAATATATTTTAAATTAGCTACTAATTTTAAAAATCTGGAAATACAACATTAAAAATCTGGATTTCCGGCCAGGCGCAGTGGCTCACGCCTGTAATCCCCACACTTTGGGAGGCTGAGGCAGGTGGATCACGAGGTCAGGAGATCGAGACCATCATGGCCAACATGGTGAAACCCTGTCTCTACTAAAATACAAAAAAATTAGCTGGGCGTGGTGATGCGCGCAGGTAGTCCCAGCTACTTGGGAGGCTGAGACGGGAATCGCTTGAACGCGGGAGCCGGAGGTTGCAGTGAGCTGAGATCATGCCACTGCACTCCAGCCTGGTGACAGAGTGAGACTCTGTCTTACACACACACAAAAAATCTGGATTTCCATTTTCTCTTGAAAACTGTAATAATCTAATAACACAGGTCCTGCATTCCCGCATGACAACTGGCTAGAGCTGAGTGGTGACTTCCTCCAGACATTTTCCACTTTTTATCTTGTCCATTTATTGAGGTAACCTGCCTGGTGGTCCTCCACAAACATCTCAGTTTACAATCCTTGCACCATTCTATGCTTTAATACAACAGTGTATTATTATTTATTTAAGTACTAACACAATTTATATGTATAAATATGAACAGGATTTTTTTTTTCAATGACTAACACAGTTTTCCTAGGACTTCAGCTGAGACCATGAAACATAGAAGTGGAGAAAAGAAGGAATGCATTACTGAAGGAAAATCATCGATAAATACTGAAGCTGGGAATGAGCTCAGTATCTTTTGGCAACAGGATTAGTTAAGGTTGGGACCTTATTGTGAAGACCCTTAAAAGCCAAGATGAGGTGTTTGAGGTTTTCTAAATAGCAGTTATTAAAAGTGTTTGCAAAAAGGAATAAGACAGCAGCTCCTGAAAACTTTTATATATGACAAATACAAAAGAATGATTTTACTTTTTCCAAAAAAGTGGAAATGACTAAGATAATGTCTACTTACTTTAAATGAACTTCAGTTTGGGAATGTATTGCTTCTCCCAACACATTTCCAGTTTCATCCACCACAGCAGCTGCTGTATCATCACAACTGGTTTCAATTCCCAATACTATTTTGTGAAGAAATAGTGTTCCAGGATGAAAATTAAAACTTCTTAAAAATTCATAAACTTTCCTTTTTGATGGTTTAAAAAAAACTCCTGCTGTCTTATTCAAGATTAGCATACTGACTCTATAGATAATTCCTGAAACAGAATTACAGAAACAACTTATTATTTGCATCTGACATTAGCCAGCTTATTTTTCAATATATAGTTTTATAGAATTACAGGACAGTTTGTAAAAACTCACCAAAATTTTGTAAAGGCTATAGCAACATGTGAATATAAATAATATTATGAATGAATATAATAGTCTCCAAGGGGGAAAACGGGTCAGATATAAAATTTTTTAGTATTATTATTACTTGCATGCTGTTCCTACCAAAAGACTTATTAAGACAGCTAATATACAGTACGATAATATACAGTACGACAGCTAATATACAGTACGAGTCCTCTGAAAAGTGCTATTTATTTTCTGACAGCTAAAATTAAGACAAAATATGGATTTTTCTAACAAGAATCAAACAACAAAGGCAGATGGAACAGATAAAAATACTGTTAATGTATTCTACTTCCTAAAAACACCTTTCAAAATAAAACTGGATCATTTGGTTCAAAAACAAGAGTTAACATAAACACACACACCAACTGCAACCTAACACCTATTTTATCCTTAATTACAATCTTTGAAATTAAATCTCCACTTTTTGCTATAGGTTTTGTCATAACAAGGATCTTCCCAAATCCTTTTCCCCCAAAATAATAGCAGCCCATCACTAAAGCACACTAGTATTTTCACACTGCGAAGTACCTAATTTCATGCCCCCATATCATCCGTTATAAAACTTTCTGGGTGTTAAAGCAGGTTCTTTCTCCACCACACTAAAGGGACACAGGGCATCCCAGGGATTAGAGATGAGCGACCTATTTGCAGAGGGCAGTTGCGGCAAGTGCAGCCCAGACAGACACAACGTGGAGGAATTAGATTTGCATTAACAAAATCTGGACAGGGAGGATTGTGCGAAGCACTACCCTTTCGGGCCAAGAAAGCTGCAGTGTGAACCCACGTGACTTGGGTAGCGCTGGTCTCCGGTAGGCTCTAAGGCGGCGAAGGGCGCAAACTGGAACCGCTTTTCCAGATGCGCAAAAGCGTCAGTGGGGTGAAGAGTGAGCAATTTCACCCACCTTCCTCTTGGGCGGTAGTAGCCAGCACTTGTCTCCTTTCCCTAGTAAAGACTGTCGACTGCCCTTATTGCTGCAGGAGAAAACCCGAACCTGGCGCCCGGAAGTGATGTCATCGACACCGTGCAAGGTCCCTTCCAGAGCTAGCTGCTGTTTCACTGGAGAGCCGCACGCTTAGTGAAGAAAAGCTTAAAGGCCGTCTTTGCTCGAAACGCTCTCTGTGCGCGCCCGCATTTCCCCCCAGATTTGCAGGTGATGAGAGTTCTGTAAAATTACACAGCTAGTGACTGATCCAGCGGAGACCGAATACAGGTTTGTCTGACTACACAACATCAAGTTCCAAACACTAAGCTACATTAAAAAGTAATTTTTTTTTTTTTTTTGCCCTTGGCTGGAATTTGGTTGCTACTGTGAGAAAAGGATGGGGTAGATTATTCGTCATTCTATTTTTAAGGGAATTATCACCAAATCTAAAGGTAGGGGTGAGGTACCTGATACTTGTATCGGAGAAATAGGATGGAATCTAGCGGCGCCCCCTAGCAGGAGTCCCAGAGAACGGAAGTGTTTCTGGTCGGACAGTGTAAACCGTTTCTCCCACTTCACTAGGAAGAAAGGGACTGGCTTATTTTTACAATTAAAACAAAACAAAACTCGGGAGACTGAGGCAGGAGAACTGCTTGAACTGGGACCCGGGAGGCGGAGGTAGCAGTAAGCCGAGATCGCGCCACTGCACTCTAGCCTGATCTACAGAGGGAGACTGTCTCAAAAAAAAAAAAAAAAAAAAAAAAAAAGGCTGTGGTAAATATTCAGTTGCCTTAAAAAATCCTATTTTCATAATGCATTTTATTGTCCTTGCTTACTATGTACACGAAATTCAGCATGGTATGTTTTCAGAGTCTTGCACCTGCTTTTTCTTTTTTTTTCTTTTATTGGTTTGTGAACTTTGTTTTGAACATTGTTTGAACAGATTTAGTTCAAGAGTCAGTCTTCTCCCACGCTGGTATTTAAGATTTTAGTAAGCAAGGACCTTAGAATCCACTGTTGTACAGGGCTGGCATATATACCTGCACTTTGCACGTTGTGAAGCTCTGGGTATAAAAGATGAGTAAATCCCATAACAACATGTTGGGAAGCCAGAGTACAGTCTAGAGGTAGATACAGATAAATAAGTAAATAATTGCCAGAATATGGTTGAGGTTTTTTAGTTGGAATTTGTGTTTTTCAAAAATTTCATTTATGTATAACAATAACAATAATGATAAAGTGGCACTATGTACCAGGCACCTGTTGTAGATTAATTTCTTTCACAATCCCATGAAGTAGTCTCTGTCCTCATTTTACAGGCAACTGGGCCACAGATTTTGGGTGCTTTGGAGGTCACACAACTAGGAAAAGCAAAGCTAGGATTAGAAGTCAGGCCATCTGGCACTGGAGTCTGTTTTCTTAACTGCTAGAAGAGAAAATAACTCACATTTTCTCTAGGGTGCACTGTTGGCCTAAAAAAGGAAAAAAAGAAAAATTAAAACCTAAAGGTTAAGAAAAATTAGTCATACTGTTAGAGGGGTCAGAGGTTATTTCTGTTATACACTGGAATCCAGTTTGAACATAAAACCTTTCACATCAGGTATTATTTTTCTTACAATTCCAATTATGTTCAGCAGGTGTATCCCAATGCTCTTCTGTGCTGTCAAGACAAGCAAGATCCTGTGTGTGCTATCATTGGTAGATTCCTCATCTAGGCACTCTTGGCCAGTGTTGAGTCCAAATGCTGTATTATGTGAAACAGGAGAACTCTAGGGCACATTAGTAAGGAATTTTATCTTTCCCTTGACCAAATATATGTGAAGTGGCACTTATACAAGTCCCATGTATTTAGCAAAGGTGTACATTTTGTATGTTCTTATTGTAACATAGGAGAGGGTTATTGGGGGAAAGGCATGTATGCTGAGTCCTGTCTGTACTTTTATGCAGATACAGCTAGAATGCCACTCATGGGCATTCTCAACAAATATGGCCTATGTAAGCTTAACATAAATCAAGAGTTCCAGCTGTATCTAGATATGCTTATTTTGTCTCAGATACTGTGTGTCTAACTTTCCATTTGTAGCCTTCAGAGGAAAATTGTATTATTAATACATATTATATATTAATACATAGAAGAATCTTCTTTTTCTTTTTTTTTAGATGGAGTCTCACTCTGTCACCAGGCTGGAGTGCAGTGGTGTCATCTCAGCTCACTGCAACCTCCACCTCTTGGGTTCAAGCGATTCTCCTGCCTCAGCCTTCCGAGTAGCTGGGACTACAGGTGCCTGCCACCATGCCCAGCTAATTTTTGTATTTTTAGTAGGGATGACATTTCACTGTGTTGGCTAGGCTGGTTTCGAACTCCTGACCTCGTGATGCAGCTGCCTCGACTTCCCAAAGTGCTGGAATTACAGGCGTGAGCCACTGCGCCTGGCCCAAATCTTAATTTTCAATATTTATTTCCTAATTATGTTCTACTAGGTTAGGTTTTATTTTCATTTATTACAGATTTATTGGGTTATTTCCTTTGTGCTAGGAACTTTATTAGTTATTAAGCATACAGATAAGGTCCATTGTCTGTTCTCAAGGATCTGAGTCTATAGGCAGAAGACAAAATGCAATACAGAATTATGGAAATGTGAATGGAAAGTGCATTCAGAGAGGGGTATTACTTGGGGAAAGCCACGTTTGCTTGCCACAGATGTATGCACAGCCTGGCAGGCCCATAGTATGATTACTTAAGTTTCAATATCTGATTATTTTATAGGCTTGAAATTGGTTTATCAGGTCTGGAAGTGACTAGACTTGGGAGTACTGAGTTACCCACCACAAATTGCTAATAAAATGGTGTGTAAAAGCCATTAATACTAATATATTCGTTTATGAGAAATGCAATTATGGAGGAGCTAGGATAGTTGAGTTTGCCGGTCATTATCTTCCTTCTATTGACCAAATTACAATGAAGGCTAAATCCACATTATAATCAGAAGATTGCTTGGTAAATATGGAATGGAAACAATAGACATGAGTTTGGTGCTTTTAATGGCTAATATTTCAAGCCTGATGCAGCCCTTTCCACTTGAGTCACATATGTGTCTTACATTCTTTGAGTTGGCTAGTGCTAAAAATACATTGCCATTTTCCTTTCTCCTTTTTTTTTTTTTTTTTTTTTTTGAGACGAAGTCTCGCTCTGTTGCCAGGCTGGATTGCACTAGCGTGATCTCGGCTCACTGCAACCTCTGCCTCCCGGGTTCAAGCGATTCTCCTACCTCAGCCTCCCGAGTAGCTGAGACTACAGGCGCGCGCCACCACGCCCAGCTTTTTGTATTTTTAGTAGAGACGGGGTTTCATCATGTTGGCCAGGATGGTCTCCATCTCTTGACCTTGTCATCCACCCGCCTTGGCCTCCCAAAGTGCCGGGATTACAGGCATGAGCCACCGCGCTGCGCCAGCCCATCCTTTCTCCTCTTAAATTTTCTTTGCTGACCAGTATCTCTTGATGTGGAACATTCTTTCATCAGTGGTAATACTGTCACAATCAGGTCTTTGGAAGATATTTTGGGTTTTGTTTGCTGAGCCATTATGCTTCTTTTACAAATTAACTTTTGTGAACTTTATTGCGGTAGGATTTACATAACAAAATTTACCATTTTAACCATTTTTAAGTTCAAAGGAACTAAGTACATTCACATTGCTATGCAACCATGACTACCATCTAGCTCCAGAACCTTTTCTTCTTCCCAAACTGAAATTCTGTACCCATTAAACAGTAAGCTCCCAGCTGGGCACAGTAGCTCGCTCCTGTAACCCCAGCACTTTGGGAGGCTGAGGTGAGCGGATTACCTGGGGTCAGGAGTTCGAGACCAGCCTGGCTAACATGATGGCCGTCTCTACTAAAAATACAAAAATTAGCTGGGTGTGGTGATGAATGCCTGTAATCCCAGATAAGTGGGAGGCTGAGACATGAGATTCACTTGAACCCGGGAAGCAGAGGTTGCAGTGAGCCGGGATTGTGCCACTGCACTCCAGCCTGGGTAACAGAGGGAGACTCCATCTCAAAAAACAAAACAAAACAAAACAAAAAAACCCAGAAACCAATAAGCTCCCATTCCTTCTGCCTTCCAACCCTTAGCAACCACCATTCCACTGTCTTTGAATTTGATTACTCTAGGAATTCATAAAAGTGAGATAACACAGTATGTGTCATTTTGTGACTTATTTCACGTCATAATGTCTTCAAGATTCATCCAGGATATAATATGTATCAGAATTTTCCTCCTTTTTAAGGCTGGATAATATTCCATTGTGTGTATGTCACATTTCTTTTAACCATTCATCCCTTGATGGACACTTGGATTGCTTCCATCTTCTGGCTATTGTGAATAATGCTGCTGTGAACAAAAATGGACAAATATCTGTCCAAGTTCCTGCTTTCACTTCTGGTATATACCCAGAAGTGGAACTGCTGGATATAATTTTAATTTTTGAGGAATCTCCGTACTAGATGATCTTATTTCCTTATTTTTTAAGTGTGTGGGTCTATGTGTGGTTTTGGCAGGGAAGGGAGAGGGTGAGTCTCTGTCGTTCCCACATACTCCCCATGACTGGTAAGTAATGTGTTAGAAGCATATGGTTTGATGAGAATTCTAGGAGAGACAAATGTTTCAAAGAATCTCTGTATTTTTACCAGCAATAACTAATAAATCATCTGGCTTCTCTGTTCCCACTATAAAATTATAAAATGAGGAAAATACTACATGTTTTATCATCTTGGTAAAGTGGTCAACATAAATGCAGAATATTTGAAAACTCGGGGGTTTTCAAAATAAGATTGTCAATAAAAATTTATAATTGCGTAATTGGAAAGTCAGAAAATTTAAACACTATAAAATTCCTTTCATACTTTGTATCTTAAAACTATTTATTTTACAATGTTAATGAAGTAGCTTATTTCTTTACTAAAATCCTTGTATTTAAGATTATTTTATCAACACATACTTATGCAGTACGAGTGAACGGACACAGTGATAAACTGCTTTATCTGCTAAACTTAACATTAGTTAGAACTTGAGAGCTACACCTGTCATTCTATAACCATTGTTTATCAAGGGCTTGAATATGTGTCAAGAAATGAAATAAATTACAATACTACACTGAAAACTCAAATTTTTTTTTTTTTTACTGTTTTTCTAATTATGAAATGTTTCAGATTTTGAAAAAAGGAAATACTATAAACAACTTCTGTGAGGCCAACATTCAACTTGAGATAAAATCATCCAATAGAGTTGAAGCCCTGTGTTCTATATACTTGATATATTCAGGATTCTGACTTTGATGTTTATAATTCTCTTGCGTTCATTTGTAGCTATATGAAAAATTTTAAACCCAACATAACAAACTACTTGCTAAATCACTGGATCATTTTTACCTGGAACTGAGATTAAGGAGTAAAATGTGATACATCTCATTATTTTCTTTCTGACATAATAGAGAGTTTATCTCTGCTATTCCACTTACCTTCCCCTCCCCTGCCTTGCACTACTCCAAACCTCCTTTTAGGGTATTTTACCTAGACATGTCTTTTTAGTACTGAACTTGTTCACATTTCTCACATCGACATGCAGTATCCGTGTTACTGTTTTGGGAATTACTCTTTTCTTTCTATCCTGTTAGAAAGACTATTAAATTGCACTGGTTGACACTGGGTTGCTCCATTTGTATTCTTCATGACTAGCATAAGGCTATTTTTATGTGATACTTACTGATGACATATATAATATAGAAGACACAGGAGAAATATACTGCATGAAAATCAAGATTCAGCTTTAGCTAGAGAAGATGAATCAATAAACTAAAATCTAACAAGATGGAGTTCTATAGGAAAAATGTCTTAAGAGTTTGGTTTAATAAATCAATTTAATATGTGAAGGGTAATCATAATTTAACAGCACTATATATTGAAGATTAAAGATTTTAGTGACATAGTGAATCAGTGATATGTAGTTGTCAAAATAAAAAACTAAAGTGGTATTAAGCAGTGTTAAAAAAAAAAAGCATCCAGAACAGGGGAAGTGGTACTCTTTCACAGCATATCTGATCACCTCTTGTATTTAACTCTTGTGCTATATAATAAGGAATAAACTGGAACTTAGAGCAGAATTACCAGGATAGTGGGAGAAATCTGAAACCATATCATATCGAAAATGATGAAGGCTCTAGTAATATTTATTCCATGCTGCTGACACAAATTTAAAAGTTATCTTTAAATAGTTGAAGAGTTATGTAAATATTAGATTTTTGACTCAATATACAACAAATTGTAAATTCCATTACAAAACTAGAATATACTGTCTTATAAGTCCTCTTCTATTAATATTATTATTAAAACAGAACTAAACAGAAGGGTGGTAATTAATGAAGATTTAAGCTAAGGTAGGGGGCCCAGCAAGCAGATCACTTGAGGTCAGGAGTTTGAGACCAGCCTGACCAACATAGTGAAATCCCATCTCTACTAAAAATACAAAATTAGCTGGACGTGGTGGCACACACCCATTATCCCAGCTACTCAGGAGGCTGAGGCAGGAGAATTGCTTGAACACGGGAGGCAGAGGTTGCCGTGAGCTGGGATCACATCACTGTGCTCCAGCCTGGGAGACCAAAAAAACCCGGCTCCAGCCATCTCAAAAAAAAAAAGTTAAGGCAGGGGGTTGAATTACATGGTGTCCAAGGGCTTCTCTAATTTAGCCTCATATAGCTCTATAAGCTAATTCACATAGGTGTTAGTCAAGGAGATATTATTATGCCCCTTAGGATCTTTATAATTCAATAGACAGTAGTACCATAAACCTAGAACAAGGATGGGGGCAGGTCAAAGGGACACAGCAGTCAACTTGTAAGCACTCCTAATGGTCAAAGCTGGAGGACAATTTGAGCAACAAATCATAATGGATTATATAACCCAAAGAATGAAATATCCATGAGCCCAGAGTATAAGTGATTTAATAAATAAGTAAATGAGGGAGAATAGACAAACCTTCCTTATAAAAGATTCCAATAAATAATTATAGAAGGAATAAGATAAACAGAAAATCATCACTAGAACTCCACAGTAATAATTGCTGCAAGAAAGATCCACCAATGAATGCTAAAATTAGTGGCATTTCTGAGCTCATGACTCCTTAGAAACTGCCATTATGTCTCCTGACTTGAAGCATTTATGGCATGGCAATTTATTTTGTTCCAAGTAATAGTCATTATAGATTTTGTTTGAAACTGGAATGTAGCCATCAAAGGGAAGGGAGTTGGTTTGTCTTGTTTACAGACTATCCTCAGTACCTAACATAATTCCTGTAACAGAGTGGGCCCTTCAAATATCTACCGAGTAAATATTTTTAAAGCATTGATAGGAGAAAGCAGTGAAGAAAGCATGTGTAAGAGGGAGACTTCTGTCTCTGAAGTATGTTAAAAAAATGTAAGCCTTTTGAGATGAACTTTAACATAAAGAAAAATGAATGTTTTTTGTTACTTTAATTTTACAAATTCAGTTGCTTAAAAATAAACTTGAAAAATGTCACTTTAATTTTGATGACTAAATTTGGAGAGCTTTTGAAATAATCTTACACCAAGGAAAAATTTTATTAAATTATGGATCACCAGTTATTTAAAAATACATGGGAAAAGACAGACATACAAAGGTAGTATCATACAACTGATTTCTAAACTCAATACTTTTGAAGTACAAAACAATGATCATTATCCCCCAAAGTCAGTTTACTGACACGAATTGATGTTTAAGTTGGTCTATAATTCTTTTCATTCAATTATGTTTATAAATGTTACTGAATTTTTAAATTTTGTCCCATATCTGAACTTGGTTTTTTTTGACATGTTTACTTCTCAAAGTAGTATATAGTTATTTCTTGCAATTAATGTCAGCAACTATAGGAAGCTTTCCTAAGTCACAAGAATTCAATATGGTTGCTGTTCTGGAGACAGTTACCATTTTGGGCTATATATACTAAAACCCACATATTCAAAGGCAAAATATTCATGGGCAAAATATGGGGGTTGAGAGCAGAACTAAGAAAAGAAAATGTTATCTTTTACTGCAGACCTGCCAAAAAAGACTCCATTACTTACTTTGGTACTATTGCTAGAGACGTCATTTCTGCCACAGGTTGGCTATATGGTTGTTCTTTTATATTTCCTTTTTCAAATGATGACAAACTTTGCCAATTAAATAGTTCAACCAAATAAGCAGACACCTTTAAATTACCATTACTTTTCAGTTGCTTGAAAGAAATAAATTATTTTCTTAATTGGTTTAGCAGCCTTGTGTCTGGAAAAGCAGTAAAACCCGCTTTGTTCCAAAATTAGAACACTGACTCAGAGGCTGCTTGTCAGATACTTGGCTATTTTCTATCACCAATCAGTCACAAAGGTGAACCTCCATGAACTCTGTAATGTAATAAATGTAAAAATGGCCTCACTGACCAATACACAATATTGAGCCAGCAAAACCAAAAAAGTACCCTCATAAGTGAGAAATGGCTTGTATAAAACAAAAGGATATACATCCTCTTACATAAAACAAGAGAAATATGTATAGTAATAAAAATAATCTTTAATAAACTTGTATAGAGATGATTCCGGTTTACATGTAAGTCTGCTTTAACTAACCATGGCTGAATGATTGGAAATGTTCTTTTCTTAACACAATGCCCATTCATTATAAGTTAAGCTGGTCCTAGTTTTTTACAAATCTCTTATTTCCTTGAATTTATCTACTACACCCTCACTGTGATGCCCTTGAACTTATAAGCTGGGCCTGCCCAGCCTGCTTATAAAGCCCCTCTTCAGAAATATACCAGATGTATTAAACAGAGGCATCATTTAATGGAAATCTGCACTTCAAAACAGCACTTGAAGGACCAACCATTGGCCCTCCAATGTAAATACTTCTTAATTTCACATTATCACAGAAACAGTGCAGTTTATAACCACTCCTTTCTTATAAGAAATTCAGCAGCTGTAAAATGTTTTGTTCAGTTTCAAAAGATTTCAATACTTATTAATTCCAAAGATCCGAACACCATGTAGCTGTGGCATTTTGGGAATTAGCACACTCAGGAGAGAAGCTGTGTTTAGGATGAAGTGAGTTGGATCATACTTCGTATAGAAACTTGCCAGAAAATATCTGTAGAGATAAAAGTTAAGAATATATATAACATCCAAAAATAAAATTACTTAGAACTTAAACAATTTTAAAGGTAGAAAAAAAAGGCCATTAAAGCATAAATACCTAAAAATAAAACTATTTCTGAGCACTAAAATAAAAGGAACCATTTTAGTTTGGCCCCAAGTTTTATCTCATTAGGAACTAAAAAATTTGTTTAATGGAGGTCCATATTTTCCATTTCTGTAATTGTATTAAATACATTTAATAGAACACATTGCATCCTTTAAAGCAAGGCTTTCAAACTAGGGTTCATATGCCCTCTGTAATTACAGGTGTGGTTCTGTATTTCCATGTATGTTTCTGAGAGAGATCTGGATTCAAAGCATTCATCTTATTCTCAAAAAGTTTTATGACTCACAGGTTAAAAACCTCTACTGCAAAGCTCCGAAAAATGGGGTTTTAGTTCATTAGTACAATTCCTATCTTTGAAGGAAATAAATATTTAGTTGCCCTTTTGATGTTCTCATTTTCATACTGTAGTTGATTAAGCAGCTCTGTAACCAGTTTAACTGGTAACTTGAAAGACACTGTTGTACCATTCCAGCTGCTTTTTAATAATCAAATGCATGTATGTTTTTGGATATCCAACTGAGAATTTGTTTTAACAAGCCCCAAGCCTAAAGCACCTTTAAAACCATAAATCACCAAGTCCAGAATGTTTAGTTTCACCTACGGGTATATCAAGGTGCAGACACATCATCTGATTACTAACGGAATAATACAGATAAGATACAAAGAATAAAACATCATGTCTTATTTGTTCATAACTAAGAAGTTAGTTTCTATTTAGGTGTTTATTTTTGTAGTACACAGGGAAAGTATTCTAAAAGTCTTTACTGACATTAGTTTCTCATAAGGGAAAATAAATATCTTGTGTAATATGGTTAGAAGAGAGAAGCTACTTCCAAGTATGACAAAAAATCACAGTCAGAGAATTTTATACATTTTTAGAACCATCTACATTGAGAAATCCTACAATCTTCCACCTATTTTGCAAACTAGTCAGAATATTCTTTCTCGAGTGTAAACCATATTCAATTCTGAAATTCCTTCTTCCTGCTTTCATGTATTTGAAGACTAAATTTATACTTCCTTTACTGAACAAAATAGGACATCACTTGCATTTAGCAAACTCATTTCATTTCCCACCATCATTACAGGTTTAATCTATAATCTGGGATAGGTTAGAAATAATAAATCTTATAATGGGTTCTTTTGACTATAACCTAGCATATGTCCCCTTTTTGTCTTTTAAACGAATTTTGTGTGTAGATTATATGAAAATTACTTGCCTCTTTCAAAAACTTAGACAACCCTCTGATGGTATGCAAAACCCAGGTGGGAATCAGTGTGACAACATTTATTTGCCAACAGCTATATTGGAAAGAGACCTGTATTACAAGATAGTAGTTTAGGGTGTAAACCTGAGCTCTTAACTCCAACTAGGTACAAGATAATGCATTTGAGTCTGTTTCTTTACCTAAACATCTGGAATATGGTGGCTCATGCCTGTAATCCCAGCACTTTGGGAGGCCGAGGCAGACGGATCACCTGAGGTGAGGAGTTCAAGATCAGCCTGGTCAACATGGTGAAACCCCATCTCTACTAAAAATACAAAAAGTAGCTGGGCATGGTGGCACACACCTGTAGTCCCAGCTACTGGGGAGGCTGAGGCAAGAGAATCGCTTGAACCTGGGAGGCGGAGGTTGCAGTAAGCCGAGGTCACGCCACTGCGCTCTGGCCTGGGCAACAGAGCGAGACTGTCTCAAAAAAAAAAAAATCTGGAATAACATTCCATGTCACACCTACCTGACAAATAGTTAAGTAAGAAAATGTGAAAGCACTTTGAAAAGTCTTAATGCTATATAGATGGCTTTAATGCTATTTCTTCAGTTAAGTAAGCAATTTAATCAGAATATTTGAAATCATACCTGTTGGTCAAAAATATATTTTGAGAAATATGGACACTGTACACAGGTACATCTCAGTTGACCTTTTGTGTGATAACTGTGATTAAAACTTCAGAATATGTCAGGCGTTTTACATGTATTATGATGCAATCTTCAATGTTTTACAGATGAGAAAACTGAGCCTTTGAAGAAAATGGCCAAAAGTCACAGAGCTTCAAAGGGGTTGAGCCAAAATCCAAATTCAGGGCCATCTGAATAACCAATATTTTTGTTATTACATGCATGCATGCATTCATTCACTTATTTATTTAATAAATCGGGTCTTACTCTGTTGCCCAAACTGGAGTACAGCATGTGACTGGAGCTCACTGCAGCCTCCAACTCCTAGGCTCAAACCATCTCCTGCCTCAGCTTCCCACGTAGCTTACATTTATTTTTATTAGACCTCACTGACACTTTTCTTTGAGGTTAATTTTATATGGGACTAAACCAGTTCAAAATTTCCTCAAAGGGCTATAAATTAAGGAAAAAGGACCCCATTATTTTATGATCAGTTTATTCCTTTCACTTGAAAAATGTCTTCCCTTACTTAAATATCTAAAGCCTATTCTCTCTTAAGTTCTAGCATAAGGATTTCCAACATCCACCTCCAGGATGTCTTTTGTGCTACGCCAGGCTGTGCTGACACTATCATGGATATTATTATGTTTAAGCTAGATGGTACAGAGTATTAAGATATATGAGCAATACCTCTATTATGTGTAGGCCACTGTACTTACTGTGGGATTCAAAGCAATCCATGCACTTATAAATTCTTTGGAGAGACAAAATAAAACATATATACATTTTTTTTATTTGTCAATTATACCTCAATAAAGCTGGGGAAAAAAGGAAGCGGCATTTCAGGTAGGAGATATGATTTGAACAAAGACAGAAATAGGACTACACATGAAATATTCAAGAAATGCTGCTTAGAAGGCCAGGTAGGAGTTGGGTGGGGATAAAATATTTACATCAAGGGAAAATGGGGTAAGAACTATTTTCTGGAAGGTGCAGAACATCAGATAAAAGAAAGAAATTAGATACCAGATACAGGTTACATGCTATCCAGGTAGATATCTCATTTATTTCTTACAGCATTAGTATTGAATTAGGTATCACTAGCTAGAATTTTATATATGAGCAAACCAAGCTGGCTGAATGATATATATAGGACTCCACCCAGGTCTGTCCTGTAATGAAAGCCTGACCTCTTTTTTTCGAAACCATACTCTTTCCCAAGGAGTCTGAATATCTTAATAGGTTAGGTGGCCAGTGAAATTCTTCTGATTGTCTAAATCATTGCTTAGGGAGATTAATCTGACAGTGCAATATAGAATATGATTATGTATTTTGTGTCCTTATATGAAACCTAAGAATGGGAGCTGGAATACATTTGACCTCTATATCCTACATGTCTAGGTGCACTGATTAGCATGTAATATTGTCTTCGTATGTACTGACTGAAGTGAAAACTAATTTATTATCAACTTGTTAAAAATTCTGTCTATAATTTATATTCTATCCGAGGTGCCACTTATTGATAGAAGTTTTCAACAAAATGCTGTTTCTAATTCCAATTCAATCTGATGAAAGGATATTTTCCTCTTATCCAATCCTCCTCATACCTAAACATTTCTGCCACTTACAAAATTATTGGAGAAATTGTGAAAAACTTCCGTGAAGATGTAAACTGTACTCCATAGTCCAGTTGTTCCCAATGAGTTAGGAGCCTTGCTTTACCCTGGTCAGGAGTTTCGAAAGGTGTTCCTTTCACTGCATGCAAAAATACATACATCCCCTGGAAAACAAGCAAGGGGGTAGAAATGAACAATATTAAATACAAAATTAGTCTTTGTCAGTAGCATTAACAAGGTTCCAAGCTGTTTGTGAGAGAGTGTGGGATTTAGCTGAGTTCATTTTGCGCTTTCAGATAATAGTGAAAGGCTGTGGCCAGTTTCATTATAATAAAATAGAACTTTCTAGGGTATATAAATTATTATTAAATGAGAATTTGTAAAAGGTCAATTGAAAGTAACCTGTTTGCATTTCTTTTCATTAAATTGAAAATAAGTATCAGTGTAGCTTCGTATCTTTACATTCAGATTTTCCTACACTTTTCCTATTAGGAAATAGGATTACTTTTTCCCCAATGTACAGGAGGTTTTTCTTCAGGGTATATTAGTAAATTTGATGATACTTAAAAAATGATGAAGACATACAAACTAGTAGAAAACAATAAAATGATTAAAATCTATCGGGAAAAATAGTTTTGAGATATTTAATATGATGACTGCCTTTGCCTTAATAGTTCTCTTCCAAAGCAACAAAAATAGTTTGATATAATAGGTATAATGTTCCACTCAATTCCCTTTTTAAATCGCCATTGTGCCTCAATAGTGTTTCTTCTGAAGTCAGTTTTTAAAACTCAAAGCAAATAACATTACTAAAAGCCATTCTGTCAGATCTGTCAGATCATATGAAACATATAACATTTTTATTAATAGTTAGGATAGAATAAAACCAATATATAGTAGATCTGGTTTCCTTGAGATTATGATACCCATTTAGACTGATAGGCAGTGTTTCATTCAGGATCACTGCTTGAGACACTATAAAAGGATAATGCCTAAATATTATCATGACACAAAATTTTTCCTTCTAAACGCCACAATGTGATGTCATTTTTCCTACCTCAGCTTTTAATGATTATGTAGAAAAATTACGGATTTGAAATTTTGTATGATACCAAGTTAACCAAGCCCTTCCTTTCAAGGCTTAGTCTACTTCCTAGTTTTTCCATTAGGCAATTCAGAAGTCGTTTAGCTGCAATAACACGTAAGCTATGGAGGAAAGGACTCATGTTCAATTGGATTTAACCCACCAAATATTTAATAAGTGGCTTATATGTACAAGACACAGGACATACACGCACATATGAAATTGAATGAGATGTACCCAAGCCTTGGAGAAATTTAATCCTCTAAGAGATGGTAAGGAAAAAAAGATATGCATAAACAGCTAGAAAGTAGGGCAGAAATTGCTATCAAAGGTACAATCAGAATACTCAGCAAATGGCAGGGGAGGGAAAGCTTCGTTGTTGCTGTGGCAAAAGTCTTGATGCTACCTCATTAATTACCTCATTCTTAAAGGTTCAGCTCAAATAACAATTCCTTAGGAAAACCTACCTCATTAGTAATAATTAATCTCCTGTTTATGTAGTTGTATACAATTTTATTGAAAATACGATTACAGTACGGTATATCGTGTTAGAGTTGTTTGAATGATGTTTGTTTTCCCATTAGCCTGAATACACTAGGAATAAGCACGGGACACTGCAAGACATTAGACACTGGACACTTCCAACATTAGAAATATTGGAAGATGACATTATGCCAAGGAGTATTTATTCTGTAAGCACTACAAAACCATTTTTATATGGGCTTTAAAGTGAATTATAAAACAGAAAGTATGTTTTCAAATTCTCAGGGGGTATAGGACCCCCAAAAAGTTAAGAACATCTGTTCCAGACCACATACATATTAGAAACTAAAAGAATAATCATCCTCTCATTATTTCCTTCAAACTATATAGACTTAACTAGTGTTTAGAATATCGAAAGTTTATTTTATACATCTTTTCAGTGAAAAATAATAAAATCTTTATCTGGCCATATATCTTCTGCCCCAGTATTCTTTTTTAAATTATTTTTATATAAAAATGTTTGTGATCATTATTCCTACATTAAAAGAATTAGGGAACAAAAGTATGTAGCTCATGGCTAGTCCTTACTAATACCTACTGAATCAAAATGAATCATTCATTTTTAAAGCTGGGCCAAGAATCTTGTGAAGCATAACCTCTAAGGATGAGGTAGCACTTAATAAAACAACCACTGTAGGTTTCTTTCAGAAAGGCAAATACACTATTTTTCTAACTGGGTGTAACAATTAGGTCCATTTTCTCATTTTTAAAGGCATTCAATATATATTTCAGATTTTTAATTGGTTTATTGTGGCTATCTTCAAAGGAAACTTAAATTTGGAGTCATGTAATTGCAACTCCTATGGCTAATTAAGTTTTTAGTGTGGTGAACTAATAACAAATAAATCAGAGGTTTGCTTTCTATACAGTGTTAATTACCAATCATTTGTCCATGGTCAACCAATTTGAAACAAGGTTAGGGGGTGGTAGTGGTGCAGGGATGGCTTCTAAAATATACTTAATACATGTGCTATTGGAGAATGGAAAAGACTAACTTGGCCAGGTGTGGTGGCTCATGCTCAGTACTTTGGAGGCCAAGGCGGGCAGATCACCTGGGAGTTCGAGACCAGCCTGACCAACATAGTGAAACAACGTCTCTATTAAAAATACAAAAATTAGCCAGGCGTGGTGGTGCACACCTGTAATCCTAGCTACTCAGGAGGCTGAGGCAGGAGAATTGCTTGAACCCAGGAGGCGGAGGTTGCAGTGAGCTGAGATCACGCCACTGCTCTCCAGCCTGGGTGACAGTGAGACTCCGTCTCAAAAAAAAAAAAAAAAAAGACTAACTTATTCAGCAAACATTTAAATAAGTCTTTAGAGATACAAAAATTAAAACATAAAGAGATAAACTGCTAATTGTAAAACAATGACAACCACATGATAAAAGAATGCAGCATGGGAGTTGTGTAGATTCCTGGAGGGACAGTTTTGCTGTAGGAGAGCAGGAAGGAGGGAGGGGTATTAAAATACTAGAGAGGGCTGGGCATGGTAGCTCACACCTGTAATCCCAGCATTTTGGAAGGCCAAGACAGGTGGATCACCTGAGGTCAGGAGTTCAAGTCCAGCCCAGCCAACATGGTGAAACCTCTACTAAAAATACAAAAATTAGCTGGGTGTAGTGGTGCATGCCTGTAGTCCCATCGATTCGGGAGGCTGAGGCAGGAGAATCGCTTGAACCTGGGAGGTGCAGGTTGCAGTGAGCCAAGATTGTGCCACTGCACTCCAGCCTGGATGACACAGAGATACTCCATCTCAAAAAAATAAAAGTAGGCCCTGAGTGCCATGGCTCACTCATGCTTTGGGAGGCTAAGGCAGGAGGATCACTTGAGGCCAGAAGGTTGAGACAAGATGGGTAACATAGCAAGATCCCCATCTCAATCAGTCAATCAGATGAGCATGGTGGCACACACCTATAGTCCTAGCTGAGGGAGGCTGAGGCAGGAGGATCACTTAAGACCAGGAGTTCGAGGCTGCAGTGAACTATGATCATGCCACTGCACTCCAGCCTGGGTAACAGAATGAGGCCCTGTCTCTGTAAAAAAAACAAAATGGCTGGGTATGGTGGCTCATGCCTGTAATCCCAGCACTTTGGGAGGCTGGTGCAGAAGGATTGTGTGAGGCCAGGAGTTCAAGACCAGCCTGGGCAACATAGTGAGACCCTATCACTATTAAAATAAAAACAAATTAGCCAGATATGGCGGCATGTGTAGTCCTCAAATTTCTTGGGAAGCTAAGGTGGGAGGAGCTATGATCACGACAGTCTCTTAAAAACAAAAGAGTACTTGGTCCAGGTGAAAAGAAAATATAGTAGAATAGCTTAAGCCAAAGCAATAAAATGAGAGCAGATGATTTTATTGCTAGTGTACAGCCTGTATTTAGAGATGGTTGAGATAAGGTGAAGTCTCCTTGTTTCTGCACTGTTATCAACTGGTCTTATATGTCACACAAGAAACTTGGATTTTACCATGACTGCAGTGGATAATCACTGAATGACTTAAGAGTATGACTTGAGCAAGCACGCATTTTTAAAACATCACTCTGCCAAGTTGGAATGAAGAAGGGTAGAGAAGCATCAAGAAGACCATTTGATTTATCCGAGTAATTTACTTGTGGAAAAAATGAGGGTATGGGGATCAAGTTGAGAGTAAAGCAGTAGAAGGCAGTGCTCTGAGCAAACTGGATATGGAATATAAAGGAAAAGTTATCCTAAGACTTAGGTGACTTTGTATTCTTGTTTGCATTGGATGGTTCTGATTATACCTATTCTCTTGTAGTAGTTATTACCAGAGCTCCATTTTACTCTCTAAACAGTCTGTTTGGACTATACGTTACAGGTTGAGTATTCCTTATCCAAAATGCTCGGGAGCAGAAGTGTTTCAGATTTTGGATTGTTTTGGATTTTGGAGTATCGGCATATACATAATGAGATATCTTGGGGACAGGGCCCAAGTCTAAACATGAAATTCATTTATGTTTCATATACATCATACACACACAGCCTAAATATAATTTTGTATGGTTATCTTTAATAATTTTGTGCATGAAATAAAGTTTTGACTGCATTTTAATTGCAACCTGTCAGGTCAGGTATGGAATTTTCCGCTTGTGGCACCATGTTGGTGCTAAAAAAGTTTCGAATTTTAGAACATTTTCTATTTTGGGTTTCCTATTAGGGATGCTCAACCTGTGTATTAATTGCTTTACCATTAACATTTAGCTGTCCGGCTTGGCCTTTAGAAAAGATTAGTGGTGAAGTCAGAGGAGCAGATTGTGGGTGGTAAGGGACTAATCAGGAATAAGATAAGTTCCATTTATACTCGTTTGGTTTAAGGTGCAAGGTAATCTGGTGATATAAATAAATAGGAGCATCCTTATTCTACAGGTAGAAACTGAAAATATAGGTAGATGAAGTAACCTAGGTAGAATACATAGCATAAGAAGAGATGAAGAAAAGAACCTTGGGAATAGAAATATTTAAGAGAGGAAAAGAGAAAGTAAGACTCCATAAGAAGAAAGAGAAGGTCAGAAATACATGCCGGTGAAAGTGATCCTATGGAAGCCAAAGGAAGTTTCAACAAAAGGGAGATGATTAGTGCAAAATATTTCAGAGAAGTCACTATTTAAAAGAAAACATCTTTTGCCCTTACAAAGTCTATCACATAAAATGGACTAAATGGACACGTATTTATCATGTCTACCAGCACATCATTCTTGTCCTCCTCCAGTCAACTTCAAATATACTCCAGAAGATAGAAAATAAATATTATTATTATTGTTATTATTTGAGACAGGGTCTCACTGTCACCCAGGCTGGAGTGCAGTGGCACAATCATGGCTCACTGTGACCTCCGCCTCCCAGGCTCAAGCGATTCTCCCACCTCAGCCTCCCGATTCTCCCATCTCAGCCTCCCGAGTAGCTGGGACTACAGATGTGCTGCCACCATGCCCGGCTAAGGTTTTGTATTTTTTGTAGAGACAGGGTTTCCGGTTTCACCATGTTGCCCAGGCTGGTCTAGAAATCCTGACCTCAAGTGATCTGCCTGCCTCAGCCTCCCAAAGCACTGGGATTACAGGCGTGAGCCACCGCTCCTGGCCAAAATAAATGTTAATTTTAAAAAATCAATTTCTCCTGTTTTCCTGTCTTAATGCTTTAAGTTAATTTTAAAAAATATCTTTCAACAAATGTACTGCTAAACTGGATTCAATTAAAATTTTCAAGTAACTATTTCCTCCTTTTCACGTTATTTTAATAGGCTATTAAAACTAGAAAAGTCGCTGTCAGGATTTTTTGTTTTTGTAAAAGGCAATTTTCCAGGGCTGCATTATATGGTCAGTAGAGTCAGTCAAAACTTTGCTACTCTGTTAGCACTAATACAAGAGAGTGATACTCAACAAGCAGCAGCTAAGGCACCATAAGATCCTGAATCACATAAGATATGATTAAGTTCAACACTTAAATACTGAAACAGTAAAGAATACTTATACAATTTAGATAGATAAGTTAACAAGGATTGAAACCAAAATGATCTATTTTCTAGATTTTATACAATGAGAAAAAAAAAGTCTTACTTAGAAAAAGGCCCAGTTTTGAAATAAAGTGTGAAAGAAAAAAGAAAATTCTATCCCAGATTAGAATTCTTCAAAATTAAGTCTTATATACTAAAAACCACTAAACTATACACTTTAAATGGGTGGATTTTATTGCATGTGAATTATATCTCAAAAAAAGCTGTTAAAAAAACTAAGTTGTACATATCACAAAACCTTAAGCTTTTTTAAAAACTGTGTTTAAACACACGTCATAAAGTTTACCATCTTAGATGCTTTTTTCCTTTGAGACAAAGTCTCACTTTGTCACCCAGGCTGGAGTACAGTGACATAATCTTGGCTTACTGCAACCTCTGCCTCCCAGGTTCAAGGGATTCTCCTGCCTCAGCCTCCAGAGTAGCCGGGACTACAGGCATGTGCTGCCCCGCCCAGCTAATTTTTGTGTTTTTAGTAGAGATAAGGTTTCACCATGTTGGCAAGGCTGGTCTTGAACTCCTGACCTTGTGATCCACCCGCCCTGGCCTCCCGAAGTGCTGCGATTTTAAATGTATAATTGAGTGGTATTAAAAACATTCATATTGTTGTGCAATCATCACCATTACCATCGACATCCACAACTCTCTTCATCTTGCAAAACTAAAAACTCTGTACCCATTAAGCAATAACCCTCCATTCCTTCCGCCCCTTAATTTCTGGCAACCACTAAACCTAAAACTTTTAAGTGTTTAGTATAATGTGAAATTCTTACCAGATTATGTATAATATTTGTTAAAGTCCAAGCAACAGGAACACTGAAGAAGGGAATGCTGAGTAAGACAATATGAAGCAAGCCAACTCCCAATGCATATGTTAGCCACATACCCCGGCTGTTCATGACACGGGTATTTGGATTCACTTCACTGTGGGCAACTCCAACATTCATGTTTGCTCTATAGGAAAGTAATAAAATGAATCAACACTGATATAACTGGCAACCTAAACACCCCCAATTCTGACATGACAAGGTACATGTGTCAGGATGATTATTTTTTCCTAGTTATCTTGAGGTAGCACACAAACACCATCCAAAATATGCTACTTGTAGAGATGCTGCTGACAGCAGTGAAGAATCGTCAACATCTGACTTTATGGTAAGACAAGACTTATTATCATGGTTCTAATTTAAAAAGTAGTTAAAATGCCTTTCCTAAAGTTTGTTTTCTAGCATGCTGTTTTACTAAATAGGAAAATTCAAACTGAAAGAGATAACCTACATTTTCTTATATCATGAGAGCAACGTGAAAAGCCAAAAGCTAAATTTACCAACATAATAAATTTATATTAAAAAGAAAAAGCAGAACTCACCCAGCCAGTCTGTCAAGTAGCCAGACTCTTATATCTGACTTACTGTATCCATAAAGAATAGTCAGAGTTCAGATCACTTCTTTCTGAATACTGAATGTGGAAGGTACATGCCGTTGACATAATGTGGTGTAAAATCTACATGGTCAAGGGATAATGTTTGTTTCTCAATTTTGTGATACATCTAGGTGAAAATAGTCTTCTGAATATTTCTCTAGTCAATTAAAAAACTTCAGTTTTCTTTCTTCTCTTTAAAAAAGTTTTTCCCATCTCCTTTCCATTTAAGATGGACTCCAAAGGAAGAACTGATAATAGTTACCAGTTCTTTTAATGATGGTGTTTACTTGGGTCTAAGAATTCCTTAAAATAAAACTGTCCTGAAGAACACCTATCATCCGAGGGAGGGGGAAAACGAGGCTAGATTACATTTGGAACAGTTGTGATTTTAAAATACACAAACGCTTGTATTACGGAGTTAGCATACGGAGAGGAACTTCTCTTTTCCCCATCCAGCAAGTGCTTCCAGAGTATAATGCTCCTTCCCCTCTAGAGACGCACAGAACAGGCATCAAGGGTTAAGGGGACGAAAAGTTAGTTACACTAAGACCGCGAGAGTCTCCAATTTGTATGTGTAAATCCTTCGTCTAAACACACATCATTTATCATACATTATTTTAAACTACTTAGAACATGCCAACACTCAAGATAGTTTTCCCACGTTCCACAGGATGGAGGCCTGAAATTTACATCTCAGCTGGAAGGCAAAGCTGGTGCGGTACTCATCCTATTCCAACCAGAAAACCTTTCCCCAGCAGGTTTGCCGCGCTGCCCCGCGACTGGTAAACAATGACCTTACAGACCGTGAAGAGGCCGTCGGCTCTGCCCTCGCCGGTGCCTCCGGAGACGGCGACCCGCAGCGGCCCCTCAAGGGAGTTCCCCCTGCCTGAGCCCTCTGGGACAGAGAAAACGCAGCAAAGGCCGCCGCTGCTACCACCTCAGCACCTCCCCCAACCCGCCCCTGCCTTCTCGCAGCCGCACGTCACGTCAGGACCCTGGCAAGACAGCGAAGATTTGCGTAGGGGACGAGCCTCTGAGGCCACGGCTCGCACGGCCACGCAGGGCGCCGCAGATGCAGCCGGACCTCACTTTTCCCTCTCAGGACGACCCTAGGCCGCCAGCAGTTCCCTACGGACGAAGGAGACTGTACAGCGTCCGTCGTGTTCGTGCCCACTTACCCGCCGCCCCACTCCCGGCCGCCGGCTCGCAGCAGGACCAGCCGGGCTGCTACGGCCGCGGATACACGCCCTCAGGCCGGGCGCTGCGTAGCTTGCGGAAGCGTTCACAGACAGACTCGCTGCCAGCGGATTGGCTGCGAGCAGCGCCAATCTTACGTTCCCCCCGGGCGAGACGGGACTAAGTGCCGCGCTCCTTGTATCCGCTGTGCCGCGCGCATGCTGGGTGCGAGTGCGGGGTCGGGCCTGCGCTCCGGGTGAGACGCTGGCTGCTTGCCGCTGGTGGATGGTAATTGCCTGCCTCGCGCTAGCAGGAAGGTAGTGTGGTATGACTAACGGGTATTTATTATATTCTCGAGGGCTTGAGGGCCCCCATCTCCTTTACTCGTCCTGGTCCGGGCGCGAACGCTGTAGTGCAGCTAAGGGCGCTCCCCGCGGGCGGGAAGCGAAGCCGGGCTTGCAGGCGCGTACACGTGGAGCGCGTTCTCTGAGCTGATCTGGGCTCGGGGTGTTCTGGCTTGGTCTTTGTTGCGGCCCATTCCCAGACCCTTCTGGGTGCAGGACTTAAAATTTGTTTTCCAGGCAGCAAATTTAACCCATGGCAACTGTAACTCATCTTGTGAGGTTGGCGGTTTATAGTATTCTATCCTGTGGCATCATACAAGGGGTGCAAGTTAAACTCTTTAAAGTTAATCACGATGTTTGCTCGTGGCCTTCTGGGTTTATCCGTACGCCCAAGACAGGCACCTGTATTACACATACTGAGGAAATGTGGATACCAAAAACTGATCCTGAGGAAAGTCTTGATTAGATTTTTTGGAATCGCCTTTGAAATGTAATTTCCCTCACCTTGGCAGTGCGGAAAGTTTGTGATCTTTATTGCCTAAATAGCTTTCAACATTTTGAAATTGACTTGAGAATGTTCGCTGTGTATGTCTATGTATCTTGAATTTCTGTTGGCTTTGTGAACTTGTTTTGGATTTAGTCGGATCTTTAAATAAATGATTTCTTTGTGTTCTCTCTAATGAAAGTCTGTGACTTCTCTGATCTTTACTTCTTTTTTCAGGCAGACTTGTTGTCCTTAACTGACTTTCCGGGTCATCAACATTCCTTCAGAAGTGTTCCTTTTCCCTCTCAGTAAATATGGAAGACTGACTATCCTGATATTCCCAGACATTCTTTGCTGTGATTTGTAAGCCCGATATAAACCATTCCACTTTTTCAAAAGCATTCATTTGGTACACATATGGTATAGAGTGCTATATTCCAGGGGCTATGCTAGGAATGTGTGATTGATATAAAATAAAACCCCTGTCCTCAAAGAACTCTGAGTCAGGAGGGACAGAAACACATATTAATAGAATAACTTGTGATGAGGTTAATTAGAAATGAGGTAAAGGGGGACTGCAGAGGAAGGAATACCTACTCTGTTGACAGGTGAAGGAAAGGAGGCTGCAGCAGTGAAGAAAGGCTTTCTTGAAGAGCTGATACTGAACTAAATCTGGAGGGATGATTAGAAGTCAGCTGAGAGAGAGAGAGAACCATGTGAACTGAGGAAGGAGTGAGTGTCACCATGTTAAGAGAGATGAGTTGGTTGGGCACGGTGGCTCACGCCTGTATTCCCAGCACTTTGGGAGGCCGAGGCGGGCGGATCACCTGACGTCAGGAGTTCGAGACCAGCCTGGCCAACATGGTGAAACCCTGTCTCTACTAAAAATACAAAAATTAGACCGGCATGGTGCTGCGCTCCAGTAATCCCAGCTACTTGTGGGGCTGGGACAGGAGAACCGCTTGAACCTGGGAGGCAGGTTGCAGTGAGCCGAAATTGCTGCACTCCAGCCTGGGCAACAGAGTGAGACTGCCTCAAAAAAAAAAAAAAAAAAGTTGTGCAGTATCATCCCCCTAGAGCACATTTGGGCAATGATGGGATGACTGGGAGAGTAGGCAAAAATCCAATTGTTAAGAAGTTTGTACTTAACCTGGTTGGCAGTTGGAAACCTTTATAAAAATTTTAAGTGGGGCAGCAACATGATGAAATTTAAATACAGAAAGAACCCTATAGTGGTTGAGATTCGAGTCAAAATATCAATTAGGTGGTTACTGCAATAGTTCAGGAGAGTAAGTTTGAGAGGCTGAATGGAGGCAGTACAAAGAGGAGAGGACTAGTTTGGGAAACTGTGAGATCTAGATAGTAGGGGAGAGATGACTGGGTGGCAGGATGTAGAGAGTGAGTAGAATTTCTAGGATGACTTCAAGGTTTCTAATTTTGCTTTATGTGCCTGTATGGAAAGTGTTTAAGAGCATGGGCTTTGTAGTCAGACGTGCCAAGGTGTGCATCTGTCACTTAATAGTTTTGTGATCTTGAGCAAGTTACCATGCCTTTAAATCCTATTTGGTGATAAAGGTTGATAGAATTCATAGAGTTGTTTTGAGTATTAAATAAAATAATATATATATAATTCTTATGTTGGCTATTATTTTTATTATCAAACAAGAAATACAGGAAGAAAGCTGATTAGAGTTCTGTCTTGGTGGCTCATGCCTGTATCCCAGCACTTTGGGAGGCCGAGGCAGGCAGATCACCTGAGGTCAGGAGTTCAAGACCAGCCTGGCCAACATGGTGAAACCTCGACTCTACTAAAAATACAAAAAATTAGCCAGGTGTGGTGGTGGGCACCTGTAATTCCAGCTACTCGGGAGGCTGAGGCAGGAGAATTGCTTGAACCCGGGAGGTGGAGTCTGCAGTGAGCCGAGATTGCCCATTGCATTTCAGCCTAGGCAACAAGCGCAAAACCTGAAACCCCATCTCAAAAAGAAAAAGAAAGTTAGAGAAAGATTCTCTGATCAGTTTGGGCCAACATGTTATGTTTAGGTTGCCTTCAGCTCATCTAAATGATGGTATTTAGAAGGTAGTTGGAAGTAAGGCCCTAAAGTTCAGAAAAAAGTGTGAGATACAGGTGAGCTGGAGGATAATATGGAAGCCAGTTGAAATTATGTATGTAAAGAGAAGGAGGATATTTTTTCTAACGTTTGCGTTAGCATAGGAAAGATGCTGGTAAATTATATTTAGTGGTCCTTCATTAATATTCATGAAGTGAAGGGCTTGCCATGAGTGAAGCATTTGATTGTTCTGCCTGGCATCCTACATTCAAAAGTTGTACAGCAGAAAAAAAAAAAGTTTTGCAATTCAGGACAGGGGTATAGTAGGTTTAATTATACAATTTAATCTTTACAGTTAATAATATTTTACATTGATTTACATTGATGATAGGATAAAGTGATATTTGATATTTTGAATATATTAGATTATCCAAATACATAATTAAACTTCACTTTTTCATTTTTCTTTTTCCTTTTTTAATGTGACTACTAGAAAATTTTAAATGATATATATGGCTTATAGTTTTGTTGAACAGTGCTGGATAGAGTACTGGTTAAAATGGCTGGCTCTGAAATCACACTACTTTGGTTTTATCCTAGCTCTTACTAACAGCTATATAATACTGAGAAAGTTAAACTTTCAAAAACTCAATCAGCTAATCTATAAAATGGAGATAATACAGATATCATATGCTTATGAATTTGGGAGAGACACAAATATTCAAACTGTAGCAATTAGGAGAGAAGAAAGATGACATGACATAGAAGAAGAGTATGAAAAGAGATGCAGACATCTTAAGACCAGAGGACACAATAGGATGGGGTAAAGTGTGATAGAATTCATGCTATGAATTGCCATGATCTTAGTAAACTAGAAGGATGAGGAATATTGGCATGAAATTATAGAGATTTGAAAAAAAAAAAGATTTTGGATTTGTCATTGTAGTAGATGAGGTATTGCAGGGAATGAGACAAAGATGATGAGATTAAGACTGCTCAGAAGGAGTCAGTCTAGGTTTATACCCTAAAGTTTTGTTGATCAGTGTTTTTCTTAGATCCTTGGGATTTCCTAGGTAAGGTAGAAGACTTCTTGAACCCAAGCCTAATGTGTGAGCCCCTTTGGGGTAGGGGTTAGTGGTGGGGGGATTGTTCATTTAGGGGTTTAGAGGAGCTCAATTTAGTCCCAGTACCCTGGGATGTTTTTAGCATTTATTTGCCAAACACTGTAATACGTTATTTATATATACTACCTTATTTACTTCTCACCACAATCATATCATTATTAGATCCATTTTGTGGATTAGGTGATTGCATTTTAGAGAGTTTAATTTCCTCAGTGTGATATACCTGTTAGTGTAAGAGCTGGGATAAAACCAAAGTAGTGTGATTTCAGAGCCTGCCATTTTAACTACTGCTCTATCCAGCACCGTTCAATGGAACTATAAGCCACATATGTCATTTTAAATTTTCTAGTAGTCACATTAAACAGATTTTTTTAAAGGTTAGTTTTAATATATTTTATGTAATCTAATGTATCCAAATAGGACATTTTTTTGGTCCGATAAAATCTTGATTCTATAGAGGAATTGTATGTTGCATGTTGTCAAGCTTGTGCTTTTATTCCTGTAATGTTTTCTGTAATTAGGCAATAAGATGCAAAAAGCACCCCCCTCCCTGCATGCTTTACAGATGGAATTTCCATAGGACATTTTTGGATTTTTTGTTTGTTTGAACAAAGGATTTCCAGTTACCAACAGATTTTGGATCTGCAGGTTGGATCTATAAAGGACCTCAAATGCCAGCTTAGAGATTTGAGCTTTATATTGGCTTTGAGGAGCCACATGATTAAAATAATGTAGGCAGAATAATATAGAGGATAGTTATCTGACATGTCTGGTATGAGACTAGTTCAGATTAACAGTAATCCTAACTCTAAAGGAGCTCAGTGATTGAAAAAGACATTATAACTCATCAGAATGTATGGATGACTAATGATGTTTAAATGAGACTGTTGGTAAGGCACATAACTGATTGTCATCCACTTCCCAAAGTTGTATTATCGCTTGGTCATTCTCAGCCAACATTACACTCATTATAGCACAATTGTTCTCATTATTCAGTTATTACCATAGCATTTGTTTTTAAGAAATCTTTTTAGAACATGCATATCTTGATTCCAATATTTGTGAGCTTTCAGTGATCCACTGTAATGA